GAACCAAAAGAACTGTCACGTCTGTTTCCAAGCCATCCAGTCAGAACACCCTGTCTCTACCAGTAGCACCGAGAGGAATGTATATAATTTAATATAATATAATATAATATAATAATAATATTATGTGTAGGGATGCGGTCTAAGCTAAGGCACAGTTGGAGCTGAATTTGGTAAGGAATGTGAAGAGTAATAAGAAGGGCATTTACAGGTACATTGGACAGAAAAGGAAGATTAAAGAATAGAATAGAATAGAATAGAATAGAATAGAATAGAATAGAATAGAATAGAAAAATTTTTTTATTAAGTGAATGCACAGATTTCAATTTTTTTCTGAATTTCTCTTTGGATAGTGTAGAATGCATAAGTGTGGGTATCAGTGTAGACCTATATTATGATATTAAGCCCTCTTTGCTGTTGCCATTTTAGAACGTGTTCTCTTCGTTGATATTAAATGGGTATTTTAAATCCTGTTTTCAATTCGCTGTTTCAAAATTTGTTTGTGAACAGATTCTCTTTCGGTATGCTATTATAAAATGCAGCCATCCCCAAAGGTCATAAGAGAACAAGTCTTTAAGTTTCAGTTCCAAATGTGGTTCTCTGTATGAAACCGAGACTTAAAGTTAATTTCTGCAGCAGCTGCCTGGAGTAGAAAAAAGTTGTCTGCAAGAAACTTTGTTGTATGTTACTCCTCAAACTGTTCTTGGGTTTGGAATGGCCTCTTACAAGCCACTTGCATCTTGAAACTTCAAGGATTAGAAAGAGGAAAAAATGAGCGATTTGTTTTTAATTCAGAGCCCTAAAGCAAAATTGGCATTAATAAGCAGTCTTTTTCAACCAAAACAATAAATTGAAATGTTGTTCTGCCTAAGATGTGCTTATAAAAACAATACACTAATAGAACTGGTTTTCTGGTTAAATTAATTCCTGGCTTCTTATAGTCCCCCAGCCCACAAAATTACCATCCTTTTGATATGTTTAAGAAGTACGCACGTAAAGATATCGTAGATCTGTTGGTGAGAGACCAACATGATCGGGCGAGAACAAGCTGTCTCCAAGTTGACAGTCTCTTACGTCATAGATGGCTTGCAACCTTAAGAAGCCCAGCAGATTTGGATCAAGTGCGGGTCCACTACTTGACGGGCCAAGGTAGTAAACATGCTCAACATGTGGTGACTGTACACATCCCTCACGCTAGGAGAAGCCTTCCAGAAAGCCTTAGGAAGGGAAGGAAGGAGCTATAGGGGCCCCAGATTGTGGCATGAGGTAGATAGTGTAACATCATTGTTCAAACAGTATGTAAACCGCGGAGGAGGACAGGAGGAAACAAAAACCGTCTCTGATTGGTAACAGCATTTAATATTTAGGCCCAGGGAATAGATAAATGAGATGGAAGCATTTCCCTGGCTTGTCTTTACAGTAACTGCTTCTGCTATGACCTCTTTTTCCACCACCTGATCTTAGAAACGTGTCAGCCAACTATGTCAGCAGTTTTGCCGGACTCTGAGAACCGGGAAGCCTAGTCCTGTGAACTGGAAAACATTGGGCAACGTTAATCCCAGAGCTCTTGTGCACAAGGATCAGCTCTTTCAGAAACAGGCTCCCTAAGTTCTGCATTATGTTTAGTCTGCTTACTTAGGTGCATAAATAGGGATATACAAAGCTGCTTTAAGTTCCCGGTTGACAGTCCTGCAGCAGCTTAGGCCTCATGGAGATAAAACTCCCATTAATTCATTACAGTGTCAATGAAAGTTTATTTCTTTGCCTAAAGGTTGTAAAAGGTGGCCTACTCTTTCGGGAAAAACAGGATTATAGTGAATTCTTGCTCGTTAAACAGTACCGTACTGACCTGAATGGAAATAATGACACCTGTTGACTTGCAAATTTCTCATCAGCTGTCTGGCAGGTGAGAGCAGAATCGATACTCATTTATCCTTTTGCACAATGGCTTCGGGCTCTGCAAATTACAGTCCCCGGGGGTGTTAATTTAAAAGTCCTCCTAGGACAGTGAGGTTGGAAAGGGGAAAAAAAGCCTGTGTGTTAATCTAGCACAATGGCCACATTTACTGCTCAAAGACCCACAACTTCTTTTCCCTTCTACTAGTACAAACCTGCATAGACCAAAAATAACATTTTTAAGGGAAATTATACCTGGAAATTTTAAAAACCTAATAAACAGACATAAAACTCAGCCTGAAAAAGCAGGTCGAAAAGATACTCCGGTGAGTTCTCTTTACGGCCATTCCTTCTCTGGTTTCCTGTGAGATGGCAATTGCTGTATCGTGCCCTGGTTGTGTGTTCTTTCAGGGAGGAAGTGGTGGATATCAGAACGCCGTCACAGGAATTCAGAAAATTAACATGTCCCCAGGTACTACCGTACTTATCAGGTGATAACCAAACATAAGTATAGTGGACTGTCTTCTAGAAAAACCTCAGAAACAGCAGTCGGAGCTGCAGTAATCCAAATGCAATTTGACTCTTTGCATGCAAGACCAGGACGACGCTTACTGGTCTTTCTGTGGCGTTCTAGCCTTGTAAAATCTCCCATCATTTCAAGGGACATTTTATGCTTTAACATTGCTTCCACGCTGGTTGTTTGAGAGTAACTGCAGTAGCTGCTGTTGAGCAAAGGCTGGCTGTTTGGTTTGGGGTATTTTGTTTTCTTCTTTTTTGTCATTTTAACAATTCTGTCAATGCCTAGAAGACTTCTGGACGAGAAGGTGAGTATAAAAACTGATCACACATTTTCTTTGGATTTCCTTTCACAAGTGGAAAATCCCTTTCGTGTAGGTTTGCACTCGTTTGATGAACTAGCCGAGGAATGCCTATGCAGACCTTGTAGTTGGGCAGGGTTAGTATTCAGAGTAAGGCAGAATTGTTCTTACCCCTGAGTAACAGAATGAAGTCACGTGGGAGGTGTATCGGAACCTGCTTATTTTCCATTCCTGATGGGTTTTTCTCGTCTGTTCCACCCAGCCTTCTACAACCTCTCAGCTCTTCTCTGCAGCCGATCCTCTGTTTGGAGCCAGATGCTTCAACTTGCAATTGAACTCTTGCTCTTCTCTCTCCCCTTTTCTTTTTAGACCTGGTTTCCCAGGGTTGGGTACTGTAACAGGTAGTGCGCTTGTCGTCGCACTGCTTTGCTGCTTTCCTAGCAGTGCTCGACACCATGACAAATGAGCAGAAAAGGGAAAACTCCTTACTGTTTGTCGGGCAAGGGCATTTTGTTGCTATTGATGCTCTTCAGAGAACTTGAATCTTGATCAAGCTTCACAACCAGTATACCTGAAACACAGCTGGGTGAGTTCCTGTTGCGATGGATGTGTTAAACATTTTGGACGAGGAGGCGAGTTCCAAGTAGAAACTGTGCAGAGTTAGGTAGGATTCCTGTCCTAAAAATGTGTTGATGTGCCCTGGAAAACTGAAGTAAGTCAGTATATGTTTAAATCTGTTGTGATTATTATCCTCGCTTTGAGTCACGGGATTGGTAATCATTGATAGGAGCAATTTTACGCTGGAAGAAGCTAATGCTGCCTGCTTGGTGATGTGTTGTCTTTGTTATTTTGCATGAGGCCTGTGGGCCATATCCACCAGTCATGCCGCTCCAGTGCTGCCGTGTTAGCTTTATTTATTCTCTTTGATATCTATTCAGTTTCTACCTTCTCTTAAAAAAACATCTACACAGAACCACCCACTCTAGGAGCATACACAACTACAGCGAAACAAGGCTGTGTGATCTGCTTTTAAATAAGAACCACAGACTTCAACTCTTCTCCAGGTTCATCCGTGACCGTTTCCTTCAACTCCATCTATATCACATGTCACTTTTAACACGTTTTATTAGATGCATTTTTTAGGTAGCATTTATATTTGTCATTTGAAGCTGCTGGTTTCACTGCATCAGAAAGCAATACCCTCTTGGTGTCGTCACAACTCAGCGGTATCTGTAATACTGAGCTCTGACCAGTACCATCTCATGCCTAATCTAGCACAGTAAGAACTGGAGGGCTCCGGTAGTGCTTATTTCTTGTAATGCCTTTAAGGCTTAAGAGTTTAAGGCAGTAGCAAAGCAATTGCCCCTGTCATTAAACTAAGACCCAGAAAAGCAGAGAGCACGTGTTCATTTTCTTGGTCCTTGGGCTGGGTCTGTACCATGGAGAACTCCCTGCTCCCAAGACCATCTCCCCGGTCAATATGCTGCTTGCTGAGCTAGCTGCAGCACCGGAAGCACGGCGTAGCTGTGCCGGGAACTGGCTAGTCCTCGTAGCAAGCCGGAGAGACTGGTCTAGGCAGAGCAGGGTACCAGAGGGCCATGGTTAAACCACTTTCAATACCAGGGCTGTTATTACCTCTGCACGTATTTCTTCATGTCATGGTGTAACGAGAGCTCACTGCAGAGTGCAAAATTCAGAGCTAGGTTTCAGACCAGATTTTTAATTCTGGGGTTCAGTTAGGCCCATCAGAGAGTGCAAGTAGGATTGGCAACATTAAACACAAATTTCAGGTTTTGAGTCACATTGTCGTCTTTGCTCGCAGCAAATTTTGAGGGTCCTTCACTTTTCTTTTCATCAAGTCCAGAAAACTGTTCTAAAAGTGGGCTGTCACGACGTAACCAGAAGTAAATTGCTGTCACTGCTGATACCATTTGAGCTGAAGTTGTTATGTGGTGTAAACCTAAATTTACCATTTCAATGTCTTACAATGAACTAATATCTGTTCTGCCGTTACAGTTACCTCATTGCTGACTTGCACATATCCACCTTTACGGAACGGCAAGTTCTGCATTGCAAATTTGCATCAGTTGCATGAAGGAAACAGAGGATAGAAATGTCTCGAATCCACTGCTTGCACAATATTGCAAATGTAGTTCTTGCAGTTGCTTAGGGCAATGTTTACACCATTGAAGTGAATTCAGAAACATTGTCGCAGTAAACAGGACGAAGTACACAGAACTTTTTGTGCACTCCAACAGGCGGGGATAATATTTATCTTCTGTGTATTTTCGGCCAGGAGAAAATTGGATGTTGGTGTCTCAAGACATCTGTGCTTGATACATTTGTTTCATTAGAAATTGACTGCAAATCTGTTGTTTTAATGTACCTGTGCCAATTGTTTTTAACAATTATTAGAGGAACATCCTTATTTATAGCTCATACAACCATAAAAGAAGTGCCTTCATTTTAGGTTTGGATACTTCTGGAGACGGTTGTGGATTTATACAAGAACCATGTTACCACAGACATTTTGGGAAGCTTGAGAAAAAAATAAATAATCTTTACAGTTTTGATAATCACTGGAAGAAGAAATCAGAGAAAATGAAGTCTCTAAAACAGTCTCCCAGATAGAAATACTAAGCCAGGTCTATTTTTTAATTTTTTGAGAGAACATGTTTTTGTTGGAATAGTTATACAGCATGAAAGCTTTTCCGGAGCTGCTTTAAATGCCCATTTTTAATGACTCTAGTTCTAGATCTGATTTCTTTTTTCCTTTTTATAAACAACCCCCAGTATGGAAACCGATCAAACAAGATACGTGTTTGTGTATCATGTGTATGTACCATGTATATGTATAGTCGTGGCCCAATGTTGTTAAGTCTATCTGTAAGTACTGGGAAGAATTCAGTGAATGCTGATTTTTCAAAATTTTAGGCTGGGACAGGGGAGCAATTGCTCACCCGAAGCAGCAGCCTCTTCTCACACCTCTGCCCTAACTTTTGGGTCATACGATGGATGGATTACTCACTGATTTCCTCCCTTGCCCATGGAAGGTGTTAAAGGGGGCTGGGCAGAGCATAGCCGAGTCCCTGAAAACAAACTAGAGTCGACTGAAGCTGTCCTTTTTTTAGCTTCCAAGAGTGGCAGTTCAGACAATCCCAGGCTTCTTTATAGAATTTCTTTCACTCTATGGTTTTTACGCCACATGTTAAACAAACAAGTTGGTAATCAAAGCTTAAAACAGCAGCGAGAGGAATATAGGTGTGTGTCAGTCTACCACATTGGATTTTGCTTTTTGTTGTGTTCGTTTTTTAAATAGGCTGTGTGTTGGAAAACTCATTTTAAAGGCCTTTGTAGCAAGCCTCCTCAGTAGTAAAAACAGACCGAAGAGGGATATCTGATTGCACAGATGTGTCTTGAAAGTAAGTTAGTGGCAGTGCGGTTGGAGGTCTGATGAGGTCTTATGACCCTGGAAGCTGGTGCGTTACACCTGCCTCTCTTCCCTGGTGCAGCACACAGCTCAACAGAAGTTTCTCTGTCCCTACAAACCCTCTTTTGCTTAAACTGACTTGGCGTCCTGAATAAGTATTTTAAATCAAATCCCTGTGGTTCTTCAGACTGTACCTGGCTGAAATAATGTGAGTTCATGCTGATTCCCTGTCATGTAACTACAGACTTCCAAAGCAAATGGCATGATTATCAAGTGCCCCCTGCCTTTTTCTATGAGAGGGGTTTGGTTGGTTGGTCAGTTGGTTTTTTGTTTCACTTTGCTGAGTCATTGCTTACGGAGTTAATGTGGTCTTAAAAATACTTGCCACTAAAGTGCTAGAGTCATACTATTTTTCACGTGGGCAGTACTAAAGCCCTGAGACTGGCCGGCAGTGCACAGTGTTAGCCGCTCAGTAACGCTATTTCCTTTCACTTATTGTTAAAACTCTGTTTTGCTTGGATAGATGCAGCAGTTTTGAATCCCTGAACTAACCCTGATGTTTTCAAACTTATGAAATCCATTTTAATTCTTGGTCTGTAGAAACTGAGGTTTAATGAAGTAATCATTCCAATTCCGTATTTAGTCTGGGACTAAAATCTCTCTTGTGTAAAGATGCTATTAGGCTGACAACTGCACTTTCCCTCACTCTTGCTCTTTCTCCCAGTGGAGCTTCTTAGTAGCCTCAAAGTTGTTTCATTGCAATGGCTTGGTCTATGGTCAAATGCAAAGCATGATATAGATGCAAAATCGCCTTTCTCCAAAAAAGGACGTGTGGGCATTGTCTTGTCCGTGCAGCCGTGTCTGCAGCTACAAAGCTGTGGCAGCAGTTCTGTTTTGCTTCCTATGTCACACTCCGCTGTGGATCACAGGTAGCTGAAGAAACACGGACACTCTTTTCTTTCTTTTTCTTGTGTGTGTCTTGTGATTTTACTGATAACCATTGTATAAAACTAAACCTTTTATCCAAAATGCAAATCCGTAGAGTAAATGACTTTTAGCGTAATAGTACATTATTCTGTTTTTCCTGGTTTTGCACAACCCGATTTTCATGGAGTACTGTCTGGAAAGACTGCTTTGTAGATCTATAAGACACGAAGAATGGCTCCGTACCTATTAAACATTATAGGTATATCTGATATAGTCACTTCTTTATCAAGGCTGTTTAGCCAGTCCAGTGTAATCACTGAACCACATTAGCGTGAAGCATCAGAGCATTTCATGATTTCTCTGTGGGCACGCTATGTTTGCATGACTCGTAGAGGCAAGGTTTCTGATGGGTAGTTCCTATTTCTACCTAAATAGCCACCTATATGCACACACAGTATTTATCCAAGAGGTTCGTAATTACACATTGTTCAGCACAGAAAAGGAGTAATCAAGGATTGTTCCTGTGCAGAATTATATTTACATTCATGATGTCCGTGAGGGAATTGGGCAGCAAACTTCGAATCTTGGCTCTGGGCTTCTGTAGAAGGGTTGTATATGTAAATGGGTTGTATATCATTATACTCTCCAGCACAGGAAGAGGACCTGCTTCAGAGGGCTTAGCAGCAGGTGACTTACTCGGCGATGGTTGAAAGAGCCGCTGGCTCTCATCACCGCAGAGCGTGGTTTCACACAGCGGTGACAGCCCACGCCGTTGTGTGAAGGAAACGCTGGTGCTGCGGGGTGGCCGAGCAAGGGGATGGGCTGAGCTGCCGCTAGAGGGCAAGGCAGCGGCAAACCTGGCGGAGACCCCAGGCTCCGCGTCTTGCACCTTGGCACTCGCGGACTTACGAAACCCTGTCTTGAGTCAGTCCAAGTCCTTGGAACAGGCCCTGCACGCTGGTGCGCTTCATGCTTGCTTCAAATTCAGCCTCGGCGTAACTAGAGTAACAGATTCGGTTTTCTTTTTCCTGGTCATATATGTTTGGGTTTAAACATCTTTTCCCCATAAGGCAGCAATTCAGCAAAGGCCTGCAAAGGTTTTAGGCACAGCATGGGTTATGATTTTGTGTGGGATTTTTCCTAGCCTTTGTTCCAAGGTCTGATTCAGCAGAGGTAGCAGAAGGAATCGCTCAGCCGCTGCATATCTCTGGGCTCAGTAATCCGCATATGGTTTACAACACGTGGACCCTACAGTATTACACAGCCCCTTTGCAAGGCAGCACCAGCCATTTGTCTTCACTGTATAGAAGGTTTCCCACTGGCTAGGAGGAGATACTGACAGACAGGCTGGTCTACTTTGAATCCCATAGGTTACCATTGAAGTGGTGGATGGCCCCGACACCGAGACAGACAAGGATCTGCAGAAAGAGAGCAGCAAGCCTAGCTGGCCGGTCCCGTCACCTGACTGGAGAAACTGGTGGCAGAGGTCCTCCACCTTGACTCGCATGAGCAGCGGTGACCAGGACTACAAGTATGACAGCACTACTGAGGACAGCAACTTCCTAAACCCTCTCGGTGGGTGGGATAGTCATGTACCCAGTCACCGGACATTTGAGTCCAAGGAGCAGCCAGAGTATGGTAAGCTTGCGTTCCAGGCCTCTTATGGGCATCCTGGGATTGTAAAAACGAGTTTGGGGGAAATGAGAATGGTGAGGCATCGCTGAAAGTAGGCCAAGCAAAATAGAATTTTTCAACATGTGGCTTTTGTTCGTCAGCTTTTAAATACAAATCTGTGCAGATGCACAAGCTGTACTGTGGTAGCTGCATTCCACTAGTAAGTCTATAATCTTAAAAATCATACCAGTTATCCCATAAGAGGACCTTTTTTTAGTCCTAAGTGTACTTTTTTTAAAAGCAAAGGAAATAAGGTTTCATATTTATTTTTAGAGTAAGGATAAGTACAAATTTAGAATCGTGTGGTGGTTTGGAAACCAAAATATAATTATTGGATAAATAAGCAAGATCTAAAGCGTGGTAGTATTTGGTGGATACACAAATAAGATTAATTATGTTGGTGCATGTGTGGGGAGTGGCATATGCAGCAGGAACATTGTGTATTTGCGTGTTTAATTCTCTTCCAGATGTGTCATGGCGAAAACAATTGTTTTCAGCTTGTTGTATGAAGCAGTTGCAGAAACTAGAAACAGAGAGGAGCTACAGTTACTCACTGCCCCAACGGGCTGTAACTATCCGCATGGGAATGACTCAAGGGAGGTGAACTAATACGTGCCACAGGTAGCTCAGAGCCTCTCGATTTGAGTTGTATGTAAATACAGAACATTTTTAGTTAGAGCAGGGGTTCAAAGCCACGGTACTTTTACCCTGGCACTTCTGTTGCCTTCCCTAGATACTGCAGAGTGGCTGTCACGCACTGATTCAGTCTTATTTTTCCCCTGTTTTGGTTAACTTTAAGTCCTAGAGCCTTAACAATTGAGAAAGACTTTTCGTGGAATGGTGTATTTAAACACATACATATGTATTAAATTTCGTGGCCAGAAGATTAAAGTCTATCCCTTTTTTTTGCACCTGCATTTATTTGTGGGCACACTTTATTGCCAAGAATCCATGTATGAGGTAGTTATTCATTTAGGTAAAATAAAAGTGCTTTCACAAATAATTGTGGTCGAAAAAAAAATAAGAATTACAAATATAAAAATAGGAAGAACAGGTTGAGCTCCAGCTGAAAAACTAACGTATATTTAATAGTGGATTACTGTGTGTTTCATAGTGCAGTATAAACACTGGGTAGCTAGGCCTCAAAATTATCCTAGAGCTCTCTGCCGTACACCAGAGCACCCTACTAATTGGAAAAGATTCCTGGCCTTCTGACTAACCTAAAATGTCGTGTGCCATTGGCCTTGGCCAGGAGGATGTAGCAGCGGATCCTGCCCGTATGGGGCTTTTGTGCTAGTTCCACCCATTGACCCATTCACACGTTTCACGGCTCTATCATCTCCCTCGTCCTGCCCCCGCCAAAAAGCACCACACGGCTCTGCCTGCCCTTCCTGGGCCTCCCAGGGCGGGCTCTTTGACAAGCATTGCCCCTGCTCACCCTCCCTCTTCCTCGCCAGCCACGTGCAGAAAAAAATTCAGAGTTGGAAAAGAGCAGGGAAGGAGGGCAGGGCCAGGGAGGGAGGGCAGATCACATTTTCCTAAGACGTCTTATGCCTCTTCAGACAGCTGTAGTGCCTGCCTGTTGGCAAATCCCAGAATTGCGGGTCTTTGCACACAGACGGTAGCCATGTTCCCACCCACGTCACACCATGGACACCTGATTCAAGTGCGGTGGCTTCCCGATCGGCAGAAAAGGAGGAAAAGCACATAAGGTCCCTGCCACGAGGAACTCGCATCTAGGCAGCTTGCTACGAGTGAGATATATAACCTTCCCATTCTCCTGGCAATAAATGTTTAATAGCACCCCACAGAGTTGTCGTCAGTCATTACATATGGTACAAATCAAGTTACGTGTTCTACTAACCAGCTCAGGAAGCCCACAGACAGCATGGCAGTGGGGGGGGGCCGGGAATTGCGTGTAGCACAGAGGCCAATGCAGGCAGGGATCTCTCCCCGTGTCTTGCCTGTACATAAACGTTCAGCATATAGCTATAGAGCAGGGCTGGCTCAGCGTCACTAAACCCGATTTTGCTTTGCTACCAGTGCTGGTTTAACCCAAATGAGCAAAGGCTGCAAGTTATGATCACAGGGTCAGTTAAACATCTCCTGTAGGCTGCAGAGAAATCCATTAAGCCAGACATTCCCTAGCGAGAGACAACACTCAGCTGGGGAGGCCAGTGGGAAGGCAAGAAAACTGGGATTGGTTCATGGACTCCATTTGGTGGCCTTCACAAGGTGGGATGTGCAACAGTTAACTCAGCAAACAAAGGAGACCGGTTCTAAGGGGTTTAGATGATTACAGTGGCACCGAGCCACGGTGGTGCAGACTTGGTATCATTTGCCTTTGGCTATCTACCAGAAGAGAATAAAGTCGTGTCTCGTTTTCAGAAGGTTCCTGCTAGTAAACAGTCAGATTTGATGTAATAATTCACATGAAACACTAAAAATTGCATGTTGTTCTGGGTGCAAGATGCATATGCGGTTCCCTATATTCATGGCAATATTCCTGTAATATCTGTTTCCTGTTCAAGGGACTGAAAATCAAAATTGCAATTTTCACGCATGACCCATAGTCCAACATTCATTGTGTCCTACAAACTAGTTAAGTGAGTATTGTGGTGCTGTTGCTGTGTGTTTTGAAAAGAAGAAAAAGAACACTTCATTTATCCTGTGCCTGATTAGTCTGTGGTCACAAAACATATTCCTATATACAGGGAAATTATGGGAATAGATGTGTACTGTTAGTTCATGACCCAGCTTTGCAGCTGAGGATTGTCAGCTGCCAAAAGGTCAAAAGAGAAAGGAAATATTTTTTCAAATAATGTTGCATGCATTTCCCCGAGGAGCATCAAGTGTGAAAACCATTTAAACAGCAGGCTTACGCCTGGCATTTAGCCCGAGCTTCAGGTAGAGACATCTGGATTCCATTCTTGTTTTGCCGCCTTAATAAAAAACACTACACAGTAGTTTTGGGTAGTAGGAGTTTCGTTTCTTCATTTCCTTCCTCATCTTTGTTCTTACGCAGATTATATTGACGGTGAGGGAGACTGGAGCCCGTGGTCCCTTTGTAGCGTCACCTGCGGGAGTGGCAATCAGAAGCGGACGAGGTCCTGCGGGTACGCCTGCACTGCCACCGAGTCACGGACCTGCGACAGGCCCAACTGCCCAGGTGTGAGCGTGTTCACGTGAACTGCTGCCAGAGGGGAGTGGGGAGAGGCGGTCGAGGCCGGGGAGGAGAGCCCTCCTCTACACAAAGCCCAGGGCCCGTTTGTTCCCTGGCTAGGCAGGAGTTTCGGCGGGAAGAGACACGCTGGTTTTCAAGGCCATTTATGAAATGGCAGGTTCTTTGCTAGTAATAATACGCTGCTAGATGCAGTCTGCTATCCCCTGGGACATAAAAGACAAATACAGGCTTTTTTTAGGTTACGGCAGTCATTTTTGTGCACGGTACATTTTGTATTCCAAAGGGTGTAATCTACTCTCTTGAAACAAATGTGTATTAATTTTAGAATTTCAAAACAGCTGTGCTGACTGTTACCTCAGCGAGCTCATATTTTGCTGTGCAGTGAATGGGCATGCCTGTGTTGGGAACAAATAGCTCCCCCCGCCAGTTATACGACTTTTAAGTTTTGTGCCTAATGTATACAGAGTTGCTTTAAGACTCCATGTGTATTAATATGAAAAAAAATACTTTAAATACCTGCTTTGCCTGTCACTCCAGAGATTTTGGGTTCATTGGGCATTAAGCTACACAATTTCCTGTCCTAGGAAGTCAATCTTAAGGTGGAAACATCACCTCTGTTTCATTACCTGTTGCTTGATAATTGGAGAATTCTAAACCAGCAGGTTTGGTCCTGCAACAGCTGTGCGCAATGGGATGAAGGAAAGTACAGTTTTGGCTTGAATGTATTCAGAAAATAGGGCCAAGGAGCCTTACCTTAGCTCCTACCCGCCTACAGTCATTGACATTTAAATGCCAGTGACGGGGGTGTCCTTACCATCGTGCAGTTTTCGCTTTGGTGAAAGCAGGGCTGAGCACTCAAACCCACATCATAAAAATTTAAAGCGGCTGTGGAAAACTTTCCCGTGATGTTCTTTAAGTGCTGCTGCGTGTTTGGATTTAGGCACGTTTGTAATGCAGTGACGCAGTAGTTGCCACAATGCATGGGATAGGTGCAATTTTGTTACTTCCCAAGACCAGAGAGAAGTAAAAACACATGCTGGCGTGGTATGCTTTTCACCAAGTTTACTTCATGACTCAGAACGGCAGAAATTCTTAAACTGGAGGTCAGGTTTTTTTACTGGGAAGTGAAACGTCAGCAGTGCTGGAGAGAAGACTTGGGAGCCTCGCTGAGAGAGTTGGAGAGAAGTTTCCCACTCGCAGATAGATGCGTGCATCCATTGCAAGGTAATGGCTGCTAGGCAGTTCAGGAGAAAAATGTTTCTGGATGCTCTCATACATCCTAAAACCTCAATAATAAGGGGTTAATTCCAGAAGAAAGCATGTAGCCCGCAGTTATATTCTCCAGTATTTATTACCAGCTAGCATCAAACAGTGGCAAACTTGAAAGAATATATTATGTCATATAACAGATCCCCAACGATCAGCAAGCAAAATATATTCACTCTTTGAGGCTGTGCTGGCATTTTTAAAATTACAAGGGCAAAGCTCAGCTTCTGCTGCTTATAATTCCAGCAGTGAATTACTCCCTTGTAATGGGTACTTGGGTATCTATTATTCTGCATCTACTGCTGGAGTTAAGGTGAAACCCTATGATAATTTTATTGAAAAGCTGCCTGAGGCTGTTTTGAAGCTTTGCACGCCACTATTACGCCCCGGTTCAGGAGATCAGGAGAAAGTTCATTGGCAAGAAGATGGATGGTGAACAGACTTCATTACTAACTATATAGTTATCACATATTAAAGAGCTTTCTGCTCTCTTTGGAGGTCTTTAATTCAATGGAGAGGGGAAAAAAAACCCCAAACCTGTTCAAATGCTTCTTTGAAGAGACATTTGTTTGAAGGCTACACGGCACAGAAACACTAGGGAAACGTCAGGCTGGTAGGTAGGCCAAACTGAAGCAGCAACGAAAGGATGTTTACTTTGGCAAGATCAATTAATACATTTTCTGGCAATCCGTGTTTCTCTCTACTGATAGCAAACACTTAACTGGAGGTTGTTGGAAGATCCTGATATTTCAAGATCCCGATATTTTATTTGATTGCTATAGGTGGTGGGGGACAGGATTGATTGGAGAGGTTATTTAGCTCTCGCCTACTTACACCTTTCAACTCCCTAGCACTGGGAGAGACCAACAAGCGCCAGTCTTCTTGTGATAGCGTCATTCTTCCTCATCCTTCCTGAAAAATGGTCCCACATATGGATATGGACTTACCCACCTGTCTTCAGGCATGTCGCTCTGTTGTAGAAAGTGGCACAAAGGCCGTCTCCTTTAGACATCCCATTTTACCCAGGGCTTTAGAGCTTCCATTAGGACACTTGTTTTTATCCTGTCAGTCATCTGTGGTACATGCTCTGGAGAAGATGCTGGTCACACAAAGGCTGTTGGTGAAGTGTGTGCAAAGCTCCTAGCTGAATTCCTGGGAGAAGCTGGCAAGCCTTGCGTCGGGAAGAGGAGGAACAAAATTGGTTCCCTCGCTGCTGTCCCTGCACTGGGTTCATAACTGACCAGTTTGTTGCTTAAATATAATCTAAGCTCTAAAACTTGAAAACTTTTGACCTTTGGGCTAAGCTAATGCTTTATCTTCCTAACACCACAGATTCCTTGGTCATTATACTTTTAAATGAACACTCCTTCCAGCAGCAACTCCAGATTACCTCCCTGCCAAACGGAAGCACCCTGCAGAACTGGGGAAGGAGGGGATGGCAGGGAGGCAGTTGATTGCGTTGTGTTTTAGTAGGAAAACACCACCACCACTAACACGTGTTTGTCTTAGGGATCGAAGACACCTTCCGGACAGCTGCCACAGAAGTGAGCTTACTTGCAGGAAGTGAAGACTTCAACGCTACCAAACTGTTTGAAGTCGGTAAGCAGCCTAGTCAATCTTTCAGTAATAGATAAGAGGCTTCCTTAGATTTTCCTGTTTTGAGTCTCACTGCGGGACCAAGATTTTGAGTTTACCATTAAAAATGTCAGTAATAATGGCCATTTATTACCTTGCTTACATTTATGATCTGAACCTTAGCTTGCTTCTGTCATAGAATCTTTCTCCTCTTAAGTCTTAGCAAATTTCTGTGCTTCTTCCATTATAAAATGGCGATTCTCTGTCCTAGTTCAGAAAAGAGCTGTAAGGCCCCACACTAACGGAGGGGAAAAAAAATCACACACTAGCATTTTGCTGAAATAGCCTCGAATGGAAGATACTATAAAAGCATTTTAGGTACAGCTGTCACATTAAAAAAATATTACAATGATTTCTGTGAGCATGCATAGCTTTTATAACTGCGTGTGCTGCAGTGGGGCTAGCCAAAGCAATTTATGGGGCATGACTTGATACTAATCTGTCAGCCCAACCTCTATAATGTTCTGATTTCATCCCTCCAGTGAAACCATAGTGTGGCAACTCTTAGACACTGGATGCTGGACTAATTGGATAAATAATGTAATCCAGCACCTCCCTCCTATGGTGGTAGAGCACAATAGTTAATGACAGCGGGATGGGACTCTTTAAGGAGATAGAAAAACAGGACACAGATCACTAAGTAAATACCTTGCAAGCATGTTTGCTCTAGGAGTTTTAGGTCCCAGTCTTTGCCTTACTCCAGAGTCCTGTTAAGTAAGTGTGGAGCAAGATGTGCAGGGTTTTTTTGAAAGCCCGTAGCATGATACAGATGCCTTAAATAATGTTTTAGGTAGGAGACGTTTAACTGGATTCTCCCAAGACTCTTGCAAAATAATAAAGTGCCAGTATTAAATATGCTACTAGTCTACAAACCTCTTTAATCCCAGCTATGAGTCATGACTCTGGTGCCATTAAATCCTCCTAACGTACAGACACTCCGATATTATGTCACATATGCCCTTTTAGAATCTGAATCACTTTTGGCTGCATTTGCCAGCTAAGATGTCAGTCTCCATGTTTGAACTACAGCTGCTTGAAATACCCCTTTGGGAAGATGGAGACCAAACAGAAAAAAGTATTTGTTAGTTAAAAGAAAGACTGAAGTAGGGCTTCAGAAAAAGTAATCCAGGCCTTGCTTGCCATCTTTGTATTTCTAGCGTCATGAGAAACTTAATCCTTCAACATCTGAATCTGCCATTCTTACAAGGTGGGTGTCTGGACTAGGGGTTTAAACTGGAGACTGGCATCAAATCAGTGTGCTTTCCCTATTTCAGTTCTGTCGCTTGTAAACCCATGATAGTGTCTCTTGTGCTGCCTGGGGATATGGGCAGCTTAATTAGAGTTTGCCAGGTAGAAGAAATGTCAGAGATTCTTACTGGCATGGTGCTGCACTAATATTCAGACTGGCACTGCCTGAGGCTCTAAAGCCAGCCACACGTGGGATTTCTTTATCTGACAAGACAGCACATTAACACATTGCAGGCAGGGAGGCAAGCTTTGACTGCCCTTTCTTTCTTAAGCAAAGCACTGGTGCTGAACAGTTACGCTTTACTCATTTGTTGTCACTGATCATACGAACTGGGATGCTGCATAATGTATCTTAAGTTTCCATTTCCTGCCCTTAAACAGATACTGATAGCTGTGAAAGATGGATGAGCTGCAAAAGCGAGTTCTTGAAGAAATATATGCACAAAGTGGTCAATGATCTTCCCAGCTGCCCATGCTCCTACCCCAGAGAAGTTGCATACAGCACTGCTGAAATCTATGATCGAATTAAGAGGAAAAACTTTCGCTGGAAAGATGCAAGTGGTCCGAAGGAAAAACTGGAGATCTATAAGCCCACTGCACGATACTGCATCCGCTCCATGCTCTCTTTGGAAAGCACAACGCTTGCAGCACAGCACTGCTGCTATGATGATAACATGCAGCTGATTACCAGAGGGAAAGGGGCAGGTACACCAAACCTGATCAGCATCGAATTCTCAGCAGAACTCCATTACAAAGTGGACATTCTGCCTTGGATTATATGCAAAGGTGACTGGAGCCGATACAATGAAGCACGGCCTCCGAACAATGGGCAGAAGTGTACAGAAAACCCTTCAGACGAAGACTACTACAAGCAATTTCAAGAAGCAAGGGAATACTGAGAAGATTTGCTTCCTCTTCAGACACAAAATAGCATTCGTTTCCTGGATGCCAAAGAACCGATAACGGCTGCTGCATTGTCTCCTTGACAGGGGTTGATCAGTTTCTTTCTAATGAATGTATATAGTTGTAATATAATACATAAGTATTTTTCATAGTGTGTGTAATTTATAAACACATATCTCTCTATCTCACACACACCTATTTTTACATACAGACATACATAAAACTTGTCCTGGTAGGATTTTATACTGCAATAACGTTCCTTTAATAATGTGCATTTCATTTTATTCCCCAACTGTAACATAAGTGTGAGGTGGGGGGGGGGGGCAGCTGCCATCACCATCAGGCCCCAGCTGAGGAGGGCACATATTTAAAAGTTGTTATAAACAATAGGATTGAAGAATGTACTCTTCCATATGGGAATGGTTTACAAGATTAATGCACCTACTGCATCAGTTTTCTCTATAATTGATTTCATGACTAGTCATATCTCAGAAAGGAAGAATATTTTTTTTGGAAGGGTAATACTCAAAAGTGAATATAGACAGTTACTAGCAATTTTTTCTTGGAATTCTTCCTGTTACCTTCTAGCTCAGGTCTTCGCAGTCCATCTGGCTTGCAGGGAGACATAGCTGTGGTTTTCCTACGGAGCAGAAAAAGTCCCGATGCAGTGGTTCTGCAAGAGTTACAAACAGCCCACTCCTGGAGACATCTCAGATACGGAGCTACAGTTGTCAGGGCTTACGTCTTATGCTGGGGAGCAGATCTTCAGGGCAGCTACCTGTAAACTAAGCATGCCGTAAGCCTTTGGAGGAGGGAGGCCAGAGAAGGAAACCATGTCAAGGGAAAAAGAAAAAAAAAATCACAGTTACTTCCCAGTTTTTAATATGAAGAGTGTTTAGATCTGCTTGTTTCTTTCTTTTAAGAAAAGAAAGAAGTTTATTCTTTTAAAGAACAGGAAAGGTGGAATACACATTTCCAAGTTCCCTGAGATAGAGCATGCCACCAGCCCTTTTCCCCCGTTTATCATATGCTGAGTGCACAGTGTCCTACAGAAGAAGCTATTCTTTAAGGAAGCTATCTGGGAGGAACTATTGGTGAGTTAAAATGTCTTAATTTTTAAAAAAAGCTAGCATTATTTTTGTAAAGTATTTATTGAATTGTAACAATAACTCACACGTGGGATATGTCTCTAACATGAACGGCTTCTGTAGATGGAACTTGATTGCCAAGAATAAGACTGTTGTTAGGCAAGGGTTTTACTTCCAAATTTTTACAAAGTGCAAGTTTACATACATAATCCTGTAATTAAGCAGCTGATACCTGCATCCTTTTGAAAGATAAAAATTACACCATGGGTAAATAAATACTTACAGTTCCATCCTGTAAAAGGCTGTCTTGCTGCAAGTCAATGTCTTCCTTTGGAAAACTAAGGCTAAATGTTACTAGAGAAAAGCCTATTTTCGGGTTATGTGGTCTGATACACATATGTGCACTGCATGTGGAACCTCACACAGCGGTAAAGCCGATCTTGCATTGCAGTCAGTCTTAGCTGAAAGATTCAAGACAAACACGAAAGACAATTCCTTCTGCTATACACGTACACACATAAATACTGTAAATCGTTTCTCTAGCTCTGTTGGCCTTTCAGGTGCCGGTTGAGGGCGACTTCCCAGACAGACGTGTGTGCGGTCCCCCAGCATTAATGTAAGCATAATAAGTAAGTCTGCTGAGTCTGGGAAGTGTCAGGCTTGTGTTGGCCTGCCCAGGTGGTGCAGATCAGGGGATTAAAAAGCAGCCTGGGCCTTGGACACCCGCTCTGACCAAACGTGTGGCGCATACGCTGCGAAGGCTCGCCCCGGGCCCGCCAGACCTAGTCTGACAGGCTGCAGAGCCTCAGCGCTGTACTTCTGCTCCAGGTTTCCATAAACACAGCGGTCCAGGCAAAGCTACTGCACATATGCAAAAGCAACTGATCCACTGAGGTAACTTCCGCAGCTGGAAATCTTGGCCAAGTCATCGGACCTTCCCAGATGCAGGCTTGAGTCGGAGGTGGGGGGAGACGTGGATATATTCTAGCACTAACTGGTAGTAACAAAACATGGTTAGTTGAGCAAGAGGGTAAACATGGGGATCGCCCCTTAATTTTTATAGAAACCAGGTTTTGTAAATTCTTGCAAGGTCATAAGAAGGAGCCACTAGCTAGCGGAGCCAGTTAAATTGACAGCAGATGGATGAAAGGCATAAGCAGCTCCAGGATCAGTCATTTAATAGGGAAGACAGGTATTTGCTGCAACATGGGGGAGAAAGCTCCGCTTTTTGCTTCACTTAGCAGTGTGGGGGGAACAACAGTCTCAGGTTTCTCTGGGAGGGCGATGAGAGGCCGGTTACAATTCTTGAAATATAGAACACATCCCTGCAGTTTATGGATTAGTAAATTATGGTGCTAGTGAGAAATGCTACTACACCATTAATACTGATCATAACAAATAAAGAGTCAGGGAAGAGGAAAAATTATTCCAATAAATGAAACGATGCACAAAGTTTTGAGTGTTACCACTCATAATTTGCCAAGGCTAGAAACTCTGGGGGAGCCTAATAACCGCTGATAGGGACCTACCAGGTTTTTCATAGGATGAGTCCTGGAGCACAGATCAAGAGCATATTCGCACTTCTGCAGTCTTAAGCAATGATCTTTATTAAAAACAAAGTCAGTCCTATTTTATAATAAATTATGATCCATTCAGGGCTGGGCTGCTTTTTTTCTTTTCTGTTTTCTTTATCGCCTTTCCAACAACTAAAATTGTACCTGGAATGACTTTGTGTAGTAGTCCTTCGCAAGGTGCAGGAGTTTACCGTGGCCAAATTTGGCTCAGTCTCTTAAATATAGAGCTCTTCGTATTAGAATAAGACCTGAGGAAGGGTTTGTGGTCTTAACGTTCCTAGGCACAGGTCGGTGGTTAGAAGAAGCTGTTGTTATGTTTCTAAGTTACCACAGAACGGGCGTATTGGAAGACCCAACCAAAGATATGAGGGGGATTGAAAGAAGCAGAACTAAACAGGGCTCGTGGTCTCAACACTGAGAAATCCTCAGAGAGTCCCCCCCACCGGTAGCCATCCTGCTTCCCAAAAGGAAACTTAACATACAGACTTTACAGCAGCCTCTCTGTAGCCGAGCAGTTCCATTCACCTATTTCTCATCAACAAAGCCAGAGTAGGGTGTTTTCACCTCCTGGCCTCTCGTTCCTCTGCACTACCTTCCTCTTGGGCAAGCACAGCTGTTTGTGCAGCAAAATGAACCAGTCAAGTCATCCAAGTTATTTTTAACCCCAATCCATCAACAGATACGGATTACCGCACGGCTTTAGCGTCGAGTTGATGGCAACGCCTTAAGCTGGCACTGCTGCTGAGAAAGATGTGTGGAGCAGTACCCCGAGGTAGCCATAAACAGATTGAATGCCTACCTTTGATGGTTAGAAGGATGAGTGGCCCTGGCTTCACATTGCCCGGACAGCTGCTGAGCAGCAAAATTCCACTAACATAACCCGCAGTGATGCATATGGGTTATAGGACAATATAGCGAAAAACGAAAACATACATTCACGAATTCCCACAGTCCTGCATTAGTTACCAGCTGCATTTTCTCCCCTCGCTGTGCAAAATGGTTAGCACTGTCAACACGGCGCATGCTTTCAAAAAACGCTAGTGAGTTCATAGGCGTGCCTTTTCCATATATAGCATTTTCATTGAGATTGTAGGGTTGGTTGCCATGAATAACTGATGCACCTGACACTTTCAGTTGAGTGGGGTCAGGCGAGTCGAAGGCGGGAGAGAGGGAAAAGTAACCTTTCCCAGTTGAAGAAATCTGCTGCTTCACGGCAGGGGACTGCAGTATATGTGTGAGCCATTTAGCCAGGGGATGCCCCTGCCAGACCACAAAGAGCCCTAATGCCGCAGTCTCTTACCTGTGGTGGTCTCCCTGGCCGGCAGCAGGAAGGCAGCGAGGGAGCACCTGCACCGCATGGTGATGGCCCAGGGAGCTGCCTGAGGCCGAGGAACCACCGGTGCTCCCCCAGGCCTCCCCTTGCTCCCCTTTCTGCTTTCTGCATCAAGGCGCCCCCGGAGCCACCCAGCAGCCAGCATGGCTCGCTGCGGTGGGCGCCTGCTGGGTGGCACTGCCTTGGCTTAGGCCCGGCAGCGCGGAGCCACGCATTCATCCATCCTTGGAGGAAACTACTCACATTCAGGCTGGACAGACTACACAGAAACCTGGCGAGTGCCATTCCTAGCAGAGTCAAGAAGCTGGCAGGGCAGGGAGCCTGTTTGTAACCCACCCAGACAAAGTTACTCTGCAGGCTCCATACAGTCACCCGCACAATCGTCTGACACCGTGCGAGGGGCAATGGCGTGGCAAGGCTATCTCTTTTTGATCTAGAAGAGGAAGCCTGCAAAACAGGTATGGACAAGCTCGGATCTCTTTAGGCTCACTGCATGCACCTGCACAGGCACAAGCACGGCCGTGTCCCTCCCCTCCATACACGCGGAGCCCAGAGGGCTGAGGAGGGAGGGCATGAGCAGGAAGAAGACCAGCAGTAAGCACCAGAATAAAGATGACACTTTTTCCAGCAAACTGGTGTGAGTGGATGTTGCTGCCTGGCTGCATGGCATTTATGTGACAGCTGAGGCAGCATGTGTTTTTCTATCACCAGCTCCCCCCTCCCTTCCCTTTGTAACTTTTAATGGAAAAATGTGTGGGCAGTTTCCATTATGCCTGCACTGCTTCAGACAAATTAAGGGGTTGGCTAAGAAATCACTGGTTTCATATTTCATACAAAATACACACACATGCATATATTTATATATCTATGTAAATTAATTTAGGATATCCTCTAGTCATGCACTTTATAGCAGTACGTTCCCGAGTGTAGTGTCTGCAGGAACAGACCTACAGAAGAGCATTTCCTTCAGGCCTGCACAGGGGGATGAGGCTATTTTTTGCACTTGCATGGGGGGGAGAAGGGCCGGGAAGCTGAAATGGCAGCAGTCATTCTTCGGCTCTGCCTCTTACTTTCCGAGTGGCAGGTTTATTCGTTTTTCCTTTCCAGCTGCATTGCTAACGCCACATACGCCTTTTATGACTGTGCTAATTT